GCGCACCAAACCTGCAGTATATAATAGAAGTCTATGGGAAAATGCAGCACACCTGCAGGAAAACCGCAGGTGTGGCCTCCTCACACCTGACTGAAACCTCTAATTGTCGTACTGTCGTGTAGCAATCACATGCATTGCAAGGCAATCATGGGTTGAAATCAGGTGGTGAGGAGGTAACATATCACCTGCTCACCACCTGTCAAACTGTCAAAAACCTGTCAAACACTTGGATCGCTTTTTAGAGGAGCAGCAGTGCCTACCGCACCTGTGAATGAGCCCTTAGTTGCATTCAGCAGTGGTACCCTTAGGGCTCGCTCACACGTAAAGTTGGGGGGGGGGGGGGTAAATCCCAGCAGTTGAGTCACATTCAGGGGCGGACTGACCATTTGGAAACTAAGGCACTGCCCGAGGGCCCGGGGTCAGAAGGGGGCCCCAGGAGATGCCCTTGGTACCTTTTTCATAGGCTTTTTTGAGTTTGGGCAAGGACACAGGGGCCCCATGATCCCCTATTGCCCGGGGGCCCCATGAGTTGTCAGTCTGCCCCTGGTCACATTTTTACCTCCCCCCAATCCTTACCCTCTTTAGCTGCTGAGGCAGCAAAAGGTGTACACACAGGGCGGCGGACTGACCATTTTGGCACTCGGGCACTGCCCGAGGGCCCAGGGTCAGTAGGGGGACCCCATGAGATGCCCCTAGCACCTTTCATAGGCTTTTTTGGGTGTAGTTTGAGTGTGGGCGAGGACACAGGGGCCCCATGATCCCCTATTGCCCGGGGGCCCCATGAGTTCTCAATCCGCCCCTGTGTACACATGCAGCAGCTGCAAATAAACCCACTGTTTCTTTTTGTGGGCACTACTGCCTGCCAGTATCGTCCCATTCACGTAAATGGGGCCACTTCGCAAGCGCCCCGCAACTGCATGCTTCTGCGGGGTCCAAGGGGCTAAAGCAAGTGGTGAGAAAGCAACTCAACGCTGCGCTGCCTGATTTAACCCCTTGTTTGCTGTTATGCACAAGGTTGCAGGGCACTTATAATAGAAGTCTATGGCAAAGCTCAGCTGACCCAGGAAAGTCACAGATGCACTGTGCTGCACCCACGGTGCAGGTAAACCGCAGCTCACCAGTGTGAAAGCGGCCTTATAGGGGGCTCGAAACAGTAAGGGTTCATTTACATTTTCAGTTTGAGGGGTGGTAAAACCCCATAACTAAAAAAGAGACGTGAACAGCATGTTCACCAAAGCGATTAGAAGAAAGGACCATGCAGTAAACCAATGGTTAACCACATGGTCCTGTCTTGTAACCGCTTTGGTGAACATCCTGTACACATCTCTTTTTTAATTACTGGGTTTGTCTGGTTACTGGACCGCGCCTATACAGTGTAGCGGATACCAAGCCTATAACCTCTCTTTTCATTTTTTATTATTTTGGTAAAACCCCATAGTTAAGGTGTTACTAAACCCACAACAATAAAATCAGTCTGTATATACAGTAAAGCATGCTTGTTATACTCACTGTGGAACCTAAGAGGTTAATCCTCTGAATTGTGCAAAAAGGCCATTTGATCCTATCTTCTCTTTTCCTCTCATTTTTTCAAGCGACCACCTCTTATCTCCTGATAAGACAGACTGAACCCTGGGAGTTTGCACGTGCTCAGTTTGGTGTGTATTGCTAAAGAGGTTTTTTTTTTCTTGGGAGAGTACAGTGATCAGCACAGGGCCAATCAGCACTGTCCAAACAGAGATCAGGGATTCTGCATCCTCCTAGAGCAGAAAAAAAACTCCTCCTACAAGCTTTAACTAGCGATGGGCTGATGAGAAAAGGTATTTAGCAGTTTATATTTACTAAAATAATTGCATTTCCATGTTGTGTGTACTGTGGGAGACCAGATATAGGAATGCAGGGTCCAGGGAGACCAGATATAGCGAGTACAGGGTCCGGGGAGACCAGATATAGTGAATGCAGGGTCCTGGGAGACCAGATATAGTGAATGCAGGGTCCCGGGGAGACCAGATATAGTGAATGCAGAGTTTGGGGAGACCAGATATAGTGAATGCAGAGTTTGGGGAGACCAGATATAGTGAATGCAGAGTTCGGGGAGACCAGATATAGTGAATGCAGGGTCCAGGGAGACCAGATATAGTGAATGCAGAGTTCGGGGAGACCAGATATAGTGAATGCAGAGTTCGGGGAGACCAGATATAGTGAATGCAGGGTCCGGGGAGACCAGATATAGTGAATGCAGGGTCCTGGGAGACCAGATATAGTGAATGCAGGGTCCGGGAGACCAGATATAATGAATGCAGGGTCCGGGGAGACCAGATATAGTGAATGCAGGGTCCGGGGAGACCGATATAGTGAGTGCAGGGTCCGGGGAGACCAGATATAGTGAATGCAGGGTCCGGAGAGACCACATATAGTGAGTGCAGGGTCCGGGGTTTAGTAACACTTTAAGACACATTTTTTACCACCCTGCCCCAACCGCACCCCCTTTAGCTGCAGTGACCAGGGGTGTACACCCTGTCATGGTTGGTGGGTGTACCATCTGCCAAGCATGACTTATTCAAGTGAATGAGGCCGCTGTACAAATGCCCCGTAAACCTTGTGCAGTACAGCAAACAAAGGGTTAAAGCAGGCAGCGGTGTGTTGCTTTCTCACCTCCTGCTTTAACCCCTTGGGCCCCGTGGAAACATGCAGTTGCGGGGCAGTTGCAGAGTGGCCACATTTACTTGAATGGGTCACGATTGGCAGGTGGTAGCACCCACAAAAAGCAACAGGGGGTTTATTTCCTGCTGCAGCATGTGTACACCTTTGGCTGCTGCATCAGTAGCTAAAGGGGGTAGGGATTGAGGGCGATAAAACTGTGACTCAATCACAGGGTTTTACCACCCCCCAACTGTACGTGTGAACAATCCTTAAGGGTGCCGTTGCTGAATGCAACTAAGGGCTCATTAAAAATTTCAGCAGTCACTGCTGCTCCTCTGAAGAGCGATCCAAGTGTGTTTGATAGGCAGTGAGGAGGCGATATGCTGCCTGCTTACCACCTGATAACCCATGATTGCCTTGCAAAGCACACAATTGTGACACGGTAGTACGGTAATTAGAGGTTTAAATCAGGGGTGAGGAGGCAACACTGTGCCTGGTGATCTTTCACTTCTCCCATGTTATTCAGGTAGATCTCCATTTCGTCAAGGGTGCCTATCCCTGCTGTAGAAATAGTATTATAGACAAAAGCCACAATGGATTTATGAAAAAGAAATTGCAGCCAAACAAGTTTAATGTTTAATAGGAAGTAAGCAAAAATGTAATAAAAGAGATAGCTCTGGATGAAGTACGTCTTTATCATCCAATAACTTGCAACTATTATACCATTAGTGCGGCGGCAGGGCAGGTGGCCCTTAAAGTAGTTGTAAATCCTTCCATATACCCAGTGCAGTGACTGGCTTCAGGTGATACACAGAGATGAAATAAATCCTCCTACATAAGTTTTACCTGTTTATCTGTGGTCAGGAGTGAAGTTTGTTCTGCGCTCCAGGGACCTGTTTTCAAATGACAGCGGGCTGAAGCCCACTGTTGGCTAAAGTCACTCAGCCGGTCTGGGCTGGGGAACAGATCCGGACTTTAAAGTCGGGATCCACCCCAGACTCTGGAAAGGGACCTGGCTCAGCCTCTCAGAGATCTGCTGACAGCCTGAGCCAGACACTCCCTCCTGCACCACAGCCAGGGGTGGGACTGACCATTTGGAAACTCGGGCACTGCCCGAGGGCCCGGGGTCAGTAGGGGGCCCCGTGAGATGTCCCTGGTAACTTTTTCATAGGCTTTTTTAAGTTTGGGCAAGGACACAGTGGCCCCATGATCCCCTATTGCCCGGGGGCCCCATGAGTTGTCAGTCCGCCCCTGACCACAGCCCAGCATTCCAGTGAGCGTGGGGGGCGGCAGAGCAGACAGCAGTGACTGGCAGTCAGTCACCATGGCTGTGGAAATTCAGCAAACAGCAGTCATGTGATCACTAAGTTCTCACACTTAGAGACAACGGGGGACAGCTGTAGCATCGGACTGCTGCTGCATCCACCTAGGTAAGTATGATTGGAGGAAAAAATAGAAAAATATACTTCTCTTTTAACTGAATCAAAGCACGGTGACAACTTCCTTTCCATTTACAGAAACTGATCCTGGACTGTTCTTTTCCTTGAAAGCCATCAGTCTTTGTGGATCAGTAGCAACTGGAAACAACAGGCAAGGAACTTGCAGCCCCACTGAAATCAGCTTCTTGTAAAATACATGTAGAGATGTCTCCTCTCCCCTGTAGAAGTGCTCCCAGCTCCACAGCCTGCAGACACCACCAGCCCTCCTAGCTGCTTTGAAGATCTCCCAGGACAAGGATAAAGGATTAGTCACAGCACTGATCTTTGAAAGCTTTCTACATGTGGCAGTCTCTCCCTTTGTGAATCCCTGGTTGTGCTGATGTTCTCATTTTGGCCTCCTTGTTCCCACTGCTTCCTGGCCTTAATCCTGTTCATGCTGTACTGTCATACTGCTGAATGGGCCAGCTCAAGCCCAGCCTGGAGGCCAGCCCCCTCCCAAACCTAGGAACCCCTCCCAAACCACCGATAGTCTCCGCAGCACTCCATCCTCTACCTGACTTCCCAGCTGGCCTGACAATCTCATATTTATGGGCTGATCCACCACTCTACCAGAGCCTCCAAATCTGAGATTGGTTAGACTCCCACAAACATGCAGATTAGGTGTCCACCTCTTCTGCCTACTGGCTTCTGGAAGGTTCCCATGGTCCTCCAGAACCAGGTGGAGGCGATAGAGTCCCAACCTGTTAAGTCATCCAGCTTGACCTGCAGTACCAGATCTAATTACAGACTCACACAGTTACCGTGAGTCATACACAATAGATTTGCCTACACTATTCTAGTACCACACTAGAGGGTGCTACATAGGTTCTATATTTGAATGCAAATTATAATCTATCTATCTTTTTTATTGTTTTATTTCAGGGATCGTTTTCCACTACAGAGCAATCTCCACGAGATACACTTTGGATTTTGAAAATGCCAAAAAAGCTTGTACACAAAACAGTGCTGTCATTGCTACTCCTGAACAACTTCAGTCAGCCTATGACGATGGCTATCACCAATGTGATGCAGGCTGGCTTTCTGATCAGACAGTGAGGTAAGATACATTATCATCTGTTTTATATATTTATGATAATTGTTGCTTTTTGACATCTTAGAATCTCATGCATTTTAGGTCAATAGGTGCATGAGAAAATACCTTCTGCCAAAATCTTAGTAAAGGTAAAATATTTCTGCTTTCAACTGGTAAAGTTGTTCACAACTTGAGTCGCTGGGGTTGATTTACTGAAGAATGTTCACTTAACAAGGAAAGTTGCACTTTTCAAAGAAATCTTCCTCAAAGTGATGAAGTTTTCCTGACGTCCATCATCCAATCATTTGTAAGCAAAAACACTGTTTTTTCTATTTTCCTTTCAACTGACTTGGTATTCTTAATAAAGTAAAATTTCACCACATTCTCTATGCTCTGGGGAAGTTTCATTGCAAAGTGCAATTTCCCTTGCAAATTGAAGGCCTAACTTCCTTTATTAAATCAACCATATTATGTAAGTGTAGATATGGGTGGATATCTCAAAGAGAGCACAGGCAATGAGACATCTACCTAACCTCCCCACACTGATGGGACAACAATCTTTTCAACAATTTAGTCCATGGTGCTTAGAGCCTCCACACATTGCTTTTTCATTTTATTTCATACACATCGCCACCATTCTTATACTCAAGAAAAACATTGCTGCTCAGTTCCTCAGTGTGTTCCTATCCAGGGGCGGACTGACCATTCAAGCACTCGGGCACTGCCCAAGGGCCTGGAGTCAGTAGGGGGCCCCATAAAATTCCCCTGGTACCTTTTATAGGCTTTTTTGGGTGTGTTTTGAGTGTGGGCAAGGACACAGGGGCCCCATGATCCCCAATTGCCCGGGGGTCCCATGAGTTGTCTGTCCGCCCCTGTTCCTACCCCAGCTGTTACTATTTGGTGTAACCCTGTTTTGAAATAAAGTAATTGGGAGGTATTTGCTACTTTGTAAGTAGGGATTAGTAACCCTTTTAGGGAAACCCCTCCCCTGGGTGTATACTGTAGGTGATGCTAGTTTAGTCCTTTACATTCTAGGGCGCCCAGAAGAGTAGAGGTGGAAGATTAATGGGAAAAGGTGGACTACAGAAGCTATCATGTAGAGTTGCAGTTCCAGGAAGATGCCCTTGAGGTAGTCCTGATATAGGCCCTATTGGAGAAATTGTCAAAAGGGGACCTACAGCAAGGACTGGAAGTGTGGGTTGGCATCCATAGGTTAAAGTAGAAATTGATCTGTGCAATGATCAAGCTGATCAAGGGTGAAGATCTGTAAGATTCTGTATTTAGTATAATAATTTACATTATTCCTCATTACAGGTATCCAATTCATAATCCACGTGAACCTTGCTATGGTGACAAAGAAATGTTCCCCGGAGTTAGAACTTACGGTGTTCGAGAAACTGATGAAACCTATGATGTATATTGCTATGCTGAAGATATGGAAGGTGTGCTATCTATCCTTCTATCTATCTATCTATCTATCTATCTATCTATCTGTCTATCTATCTGTCCATTAATTTATCCCTCTGTTATCTATGGATCAAATGTGTAATTTTTTATCCATCCACGTGTTCATCTATACATGACCATAGTTGTTAGATGGCAGGAATTAATTTAGTGTAGCACTACCCCTTTGTGCTCCGCTGAATTTGGGTCCCCCTATTTCCTGCACAGCCAGGTAACACACATTTTCCAACTTCCATTCTGAGTCAATAACCAGTCCATGGGCTTCTTGTTATTTTTTTTGTTTTGTTTTATTTGGGGTATACAACTTAGATAGGGTCTAAGGGTGTATAGGATGCCCAGCTTGACTTGTAACAATAACTCTGAGGACAAACTTCATAAATTCTGTACAAAAAGGATGGATCTTGGACTTTCTACTCCTTTAGGAATGGCATCAGTCTTTTGACGGATCAGTAACAGTCTCTGTAAGGAGCATGTGGTCCCCTCTTTATAAGAACATCTTCAGACCCCAACTAGAAACTTCCCAAACTGACTGTCCTGAAGAGTATCCCAGAGCAAGAGATTCTAGAATAGATTTGCAGCACTGTACCAGGGAGAACTGGTTGGGTATGGCACCTAGCAGCCCTCACTCTTTTAGGCCCCAGGGGTCTAGAGGTACTCATACTGTCCTTCTGTCCTAAAGCTTTGGGTAAACCGCTTCCCGGCCTTTCACTGAGCTAGTTTCTTTCCAGGCTTGCAGGCTGTCCCTCCTTAGTGGCCTGCAAGGCAGTGAAGCTCACTCTGTCTATCTCCTTCTTCCATTCTTCCAACCTCCAGCCTGGAGGAAGAACCCCCCCCCTTCTCCGGGGTCCCATCCCAGGCTGCACAGCAGCACACTTAAGCACTCCATCTTACAATCGACTCCCCTTTTGACCTGGCTGTCTCATACTTATGGGCTGATTAGGCCACCTTGCCTGGGGATTGACCAGATTACCATAAATATGCAGATCAGCACCTTCTGGCTTCCCCTACTAGCTTCTAGAAACTTATTCAAGCTTCTAGAACCAGGGGGGGGTACCAGAGGCCTGACCTCTAGAGCCCTCCAGCTTGACTCAAAGTAAACATTCTGACTTACACCCAGGCTTCTAACAAGCTTCTAACTACACTACAAACTATCTACATCAGTTATTACTTACGTTTAGTCTATCTATCTATCTATCTATCTATCTATCTATCTATCTATCTATCTATCTATCTATCTATCTCCATCCATCCAATCATCCATCTATTTCCTATGTATGTATACATCTATTATCTGTGTATCTAATAGTCTATCTAATCATGTATTCATCCATGTATTCATCTATATATGACCATAGTCATTGGATGGCAGCAAATAATTTAGTTATTGCCTACATTCAGCCTCTCTATCTATCTATCTATCTATCTATCTATCTATCTATCTATCTATCTACTGTTTTCAGTACAAATGACTAATGTGTTTTTCCACAGGTGAAGTGTTTTATGCAACATCTCCAGAAAAGTTCACCTTCCAAGAGGCAGAGAAGCAATGCCAGAACCTCGGAGCTAGACTGGCTACTACAGGAGAACTTTATCTGGCTTGGCAGACTGGCATGGATGTGTGCAGTGCTGGTTGGCTGGCAGATCGCAGTGTTAGATATCCAATATCCTATTCACGTCCCAACTGTGGTGGAAACTTAGTTGGAGTCAGAACAGTCTATCTCCACCCTAACCAGACTGGATATCCAGATCCTCTGTCTCGTTATGATGCTATTTGCTATAAAGGTTAGTTTTTTTACGTTTCATAAAATTTTTGTTAACCATTTCTAGAGGGAATTACATTACAATAATTGCAGTTCCGGAATAACACATTGAAAGGGTTTTCTACTGAAGTAGATTTCAGACTCCTGTTTCGAGTCTTCAAAATATTATTATTATTATAATACAGGATTTAAATAGCGTTAATAGTTTGTGCAGCGTTTTGCAAAATGAGAGTAGACAATACAATTTGGTACAAGAGGAATCAGATGGCCCTGCTCGTTAGACCTTACAATCTAATAATATGAGAAGTAGTGGGTATATGTTACTGCCTCAGATTTTGGATGGAGTTTAGATTTGGCAAAATTGTACATCTCCTATGGGAAAAATAATTAGTCTGTTTTTCCTTTTCTACATCCACATCGGTCAACAATACAATTGACAGATGTTCATCAGATAGCCATATGTGCATGCAGTATTGGGAAATGTCTAGGATGAGGTCACTTTTAACAGAAGCTCCTTTCTCTGGAAGACCTATCTTACAGCATGCCAAACACATCCACTCAGCATGAGCACATTCGTTATTAAAATTACATAATTTAGCTTGGTCATGCAGAGACTTAAGTCTAAGTGTCCTTATGTGTTCTTTAAACTGCTTTACTCCTGGAATAGATGATGTTGAAAACATTACTATTCAAACTGTGACACATCCTGGATTGGAGCTCATCTTCCAGCGAAATGTTACTGAAGAGGAAGCTCGTGGCAGTATTGCTACCTTGGAAGGTCTGGACTTTACCCTCACACCCTCTGAAGACAGCTTTACAGCTACACCAGTCTTTCCAGGAACGCCTATAAGTCCAGACCTGGTGCCAACAGAAGCCCCATTGGAAAACATCACAGAGGATAGTCTTCAGCTATGGCTGGAAAATGTCACAGCTGTTCCATCTGTTGAAGCTACTGGCACAATTGAGGAGGAAGTAGTGCCAGCTACTGCTGCCATTGATGTTGCCCAGCCAGAAAAACCTATCTCTGAGACTGGTAAGTGCTAAGCTAATTAATCCTAAAAGCGTTCAGCAGATTTTTTTTTTTATTGTGCCGGTCTCGTTTTATAAACACAGACCCAGTATGCAGAAAAAAAAATATATATATATACAGTGGATATAAAAAGACTACACAACCCTGTTAAAATTTCAGGTTTCTGTGATGTAAAAAAACGAGACAAAGATAAATAATTTCAGAACTTTTTTCACCTTTAATGTAATCTATAAACTGTACAACTCAGTTCAACAACAAACAAATCTTTTAGGTGGAGGGAAGTAAAAATAAAAAACTAAAATAATATGGTTGCATAAGTGTGCACACCCTTAAACTAATACTTTGTTGAAGCACCTTTTGATTTTATTATAGCAGTCTTTTTGGGTAAAAGTCTATCAGCATGGCACATCTTGACTTGGCAATATTTGCCCGCTCTTCCTTGCAAAAACACTCCAAATCTGTCAGATTGCAAGGCCATCTTCCATGCACAGCCCTCTTTAGATCACCCCACAGATTTTCAATCGGATTCAGGTCTGGGCACTGGCTGGGAAATTCCAAAACTTTAATTTTTTTCTTCTGGTGAAGACATTCCTTTGTTGATTTGGTGTGTGCTTTGGGTCGTTGTCTTGCTGAAAGATGAAGTGAAGTTCCTCTTCATGTTCAGCTTTCTAGCAGAAGCCTGAAGGTTTTGTGCTAATATTGACTGGTATTTGGAACTGTTCATAATTCCTTCTACATTGACTAAGGCCCCAGTTAAAGCTGAAGAAAAACAGCCCCAAATCATGATGCTGCCACCACCATACTTCACGGTGGGTATGGTGTTCTTTTGGTGATGTGCAGTGTTGTTTTTGCTCCAAACATATCTTTTGGAATTATGGCCAGAAAGTTCAACCTTGGTTTCATCAGACCATAACACATTTTCCCACTTGCTTCTGGGAGACTCAGATGTGTTTTTGCAAACTTTAGCCGGGCTTGGATGTTTTTCTTCGTAAGAAAAGGCTTCCATCTTGCCCCTCTACCCCATAGCCCAGACATATGAAGAATACGTGAGATTGTTGTCACATGTACCACACAGCCAGGACTTGCCAGATATTCCTGCAGCTCCTTTAATGTTACTGTAGTACTCTTGGCAGCCTCCCAGACCAGTTTTCTTCTTGTCATCAATTTTGGAGGGAAGTCCAGTTCTTGGTAATGTCACTGTTGCGGCATAATTTCTCCGTTTGATGAGGACTGTCTTCACTGTGTTCCATGGTATATCTAATGCTTTGGAAATTCTTGTGTACCCTTCTCCTGACTGATACCTATTAACAATGAGATCCCTGTGATGCTTTGGAAGCTCTCTGTAGACTATGGCTTTTGCTGTAGGATGCGACTAAGAAAATGTCAGGAAAGACCTACTAGAACAGCTGAACTTTATCTGGGGTTAATCAGAGGCACTTTAAATGATGACTGTTGTGTATTGACTCCTATTTAACATGATTTTGAATGTGATTGCTTAATTCTGAACACAGATACATCCCCAGTTATAAGAGGGTGTGCACACTTATTCAACCACAGTTTTTTTTTTTTTTTTTTTATGTTTGCTTCCCCCCCCCCTCCCTAAAAGATTTCAGTTTGTTTTTCAATTGAGTTGTACAGTATATAGATCACATCAAAGGTGGAAAAAGTTCTGAAAAGATTTATCTTTGTCTCATTTTTGTACATCACAGAAACTTGACATTTTAACAGGGGTGTGACTTTTTATATCCACTGTATATATATATATATATATATATATATATATATATATATATATATATATATATATACACTCAACCAGTACCCTTAGCCTAATCTTACACACCTTGACATGCCACCTATAAAACCCTTTTCTTTTTTATTTGTGTATGATATGCCCCTTCAAAACCTGTTACTCAAAAATGTTTCAAAGACAAATTCTCCTGCGCTCTAGGACTCAGACAGGTGGTGAATAGATGGAACCAGGCCTGGAGAAATCGTCCACCAATGCATAAAGGGCTGTGTGGCTCCAAAACAAGGCTGGGGAAGCCCGATCAATACTGCAGAATGAAATGAAAACGAGAAGCGCACCAACCTTGCGCATTACCTCAGTAACCAAAATTTATTAATTGTAAAAAATAAACTCACAAACAGCGAATGAAATCAGGCATGTAAGTCCTCACAGGGACTTGAAGATAGCGTGAGTCCCATCAAGGGAATGGGTGTTCAGTATAGCTGACGCGTTTCGAAGGGGGTCCCTTCTTCATCAGAGCTAACTGAACTGTGAGTGCTCTCTCCTATATATACTCCTGGACTGAACGTAGGCCCTCCCCTCTCTGGGTTGGGCAGTCTCGGGTTAGTAGGAGGGGCCAAGGTATCGTCGATAATAGCTATTTGTAATGCCATCAGAGAGAAATAATATAAAAAAACATAAAATATATAAAACCACATTTTGCATAAACCACTTAGTATGCATGCAATATATCAACTGAGAGATAACAGCAATGGAAATGATGATGATAGATAATACATGATGAAAAATAATAAATAGTAAATAGTTAATATTATTACATGATTCATTAGTGAACGATGTATCAAATGGACAATTCATCCAAAGAGCTTGTCATGATGCTGGATGAGTATATAGCATAATGTAAAAATAACAATAAATTATTAGTCAATAGATGTCTTAATGAATAATCGAAAATGTTTGTCGGTGCATATTTGAACAAAATTGAGTATTATCTTTGAGCGTTTCATTTGCACTAGCATTCTAATTTGAAGGACAAGGTTTTGCAGTGCACCTCCTCCTTCTAAGGTCCAAGTACTACCACTACACAAAGTTTTAGTAGCATGTTAAGTGCTGCTTGGACCTTATCTAGTGCTACCACCTTAGGGGCCGCTGAATGATGCCTGTACCCTGTTTCTGCCCTGACCTTGCAAGCTCGTCATCCCTTCTGACACTCTAGGCTCAGACACGTTTGAACAAAGCAGTGCTTAACAAACCAGCAACTGAGAATACCAGCACAGAGTACAATAAAGGGAAAGGACACAGCACTGTAATAGCCACAGTTGTATTGAATTCTGTTTAGTTATTTCTTAGGGATTTACAACTAGTTATAGCATTACACACAGTTCAATGGACTTTAACAGTAATAATAGGAAATTGGCAACATTATATGAATGATATCAGCAGACTGAATATAACCAATGTGCATAACTGGTGCCTGTTGAGAGTGCATCACTGGTTGTAGGGGGAGAAACTCAAAACTCATCAGCTCCCTCTGGACCACTGGAGCACTGTAATGGGATGAAACGAAAACCTTTTGACAAGTATTTAGTATAGAATTAAGTGCCTCTTTAACCATTTGCCTACTTGGCATTTATACCCCCTTCTTGCCCAGGCCAATTTTCAGCTTTCAACACTGTCATACTTTGACTGACAATTCCTCAGTCATGCAACACTCTATCCATATGAAATGTTTGCACTTTTTTCACACAAATAGAGCTTTCTTTTGTTGGTATTTAATCAGCAGTGGGTTTTTTCTTTGTTGTACTATAAATGAAAAAATACCAAAACATTTGAAAAAAACAAATTTTTCTTCGTTGCTGTTGTAAAAATCTTGTAAATAAGAAATTTTTTTTTCATACATTTTGTCCCAAATTTATACTGCTACATTTCTTTGGTAAAATAACTTAAATCTGTCTATATTATTTGGTCTGTGTGAAAGTTATAGAGTCTACAAGCTATGGTACCAATCATTAAAAATTGATCACACTAACAAGCCAGGACAGTACAAATACCCCCCAAAATGACCCCTTTTTGGAAAGTAGACAATCCAAGGTATTTAATAAGAGGCATAGTGAGTTTTCTGAAGTTGTAATTTTTTCCCACAATTCTATTGAAAATGAAGTTTTTTTTACCCACAAAATTGTCATATTAACAGGTTATTTCTCCCACACACGGCATATGTATACTTGCAATTACACCCCAAAAACACATTCTGTTACTCCTCCTGAGTATGGGGATACCACATGTGTGACACTTTTTCACAGCCTGGCCACATAGAGACGCCCAACATGCAAGAAGCACTGTCAGGTGTCATAGGGGTATAAAAATCACACATTTAATTTCCTGACTACCTATTACACTTTTGAAGGCCCTGGAGCTCCAGGACAGTGGAATTACCCACAAAATTACCCCATTTTGGAAAGCAAACACTGCAATGTATTTTTTAGTGAGGCATAATGAGTCTTTTGAACATGTCATTTTTTCCACAAGTTTTTGGAAAATGTGGAAAGAAAACGAAAACGTATTTTTTGTTACACAATGTTGTCCATTTATAAGATATTTCCAACACATAGCATGTACATACCAAAAATTACACCCCAAAATATATTCTGCTACTCCTCCTAAGGATGGGGATACCACATGTGTGAGACTTTTCCACAGTCTGGCCATATAGAGAGCCCCAACATCTAAGTAGCACCTTTAGGTGTTCTAGGAGCAAAAATGACACATCTAATTTCCTGACAACCTATTACGCTTTTGAAGGCCTTGGAGCACCAGGATAGTGGAAACACCCACAAAATTACCCCATTTTGGAAAGCAAACACTTCAACATAATTTTTGTGAGGCATAATGAGTCTTTTGAAAATGTCTTTTTTTCCGCAAGTTTTAAGAAAATGTGGAAAGAAAATGAAAATGTATTTTTCTAACACAAAGTTGTCAATCTATAAGATATTTCTAACAAACAGCATGGACATACCAAGAATTACACTCCAAAATACATTCTTCTACTCCTCCTGATTATGGGGATACCACATGTGTAAGATCTTTTCAATGTCTCTACAGATTATGTGTCCAACATTTCAACAAGTGTAACACAAAAATCAACAAATACTGTATAGAAAATAAAACATTACCTGTTGTTTGAGGAGAGCATTGGTCCAGGTCAGTACAGGCAGCAGGCTGACATCCAGGGAGCAGACAGGAGCAAGGTCCATAAAACGTCCTGGGTCAGTACAGGCAGCAGGCAGAGATATGGTCAGCACAGCCAAAGCATTGGCCCAGGCAGCAGGCTGAAACATCAGGCTTAGGGCCTCGGTCAGGTAGAACTGGGGCACAGGGTTAGAGGCTGTGTCCCCACCCAATCTCTTCGAAGCCTCCGGACAAGCAGACACTGTTCTGGAAATTACAAAACCTGGAGAAAACCAAAAAACTATTTTTCTCTACTCAGAACACTACTCTGAAGCCCCTCACATATGTGAGACCCCTGTGTTTTTTGCAATCCCACTACTACAGTAGCAGGGCAAAAGCTCAATCCAAGCAGCAGGTAAAAAACATGGTTGATTAACAGGCCGAGGTCAGTCCAGGAAGAAGGCATAAACGTGGTTGATAATCCAGATGCTAGGTAGATGCATAGTCGATAAACAGGCCAGCATCAGTTAAGGTAGAAGGCAGTGGTTGGTTGAGGCAGCAGGAAAATGATCAGCAGAGATATTGAAACGGGGAAATGGCAGGCTGTTTGAAATATGGGCTAATATTTTAGTGACGTGTGAAAATGACGGAAGCGGTCTCCAATGCACAAGCCTGGTTGGGAGGGTTACTGGGGACAATGAAAACTTTTGTCTCTTCTAACCCCGATATCTTTTTTTGGCGTCTTCGACCTGCTTCTGCTGGTGGAATGCTGTCAGGTAAGTGGGGCTCATGAAGTCTGCTCACAGAATCGGAATGAATGCTTTTTTGGGGGGATCCTTGCTGATAGATAATGCTGATAGATAAGGGACATGACAATTTCTTCTATAAATTTGAGGAAGGCAATGGGTCTTTCTGTGGATTTGGGGTAGGTGACATACGCATTATAAATAGCCAAATGAATAAAAACAGATTACAACTTTTTTTATACCAGAAATGGGACCTTCTTGTTGCTAAATAGGGCTGCAACATCTGATCATTGAAATCCGCAATCCACCCCCCCCCCCCCATGTTGTAGAGATTATAATCTTGGATGGCCGCAGGCTTTTGAATGGGACCGTGTCTTCCAGTAATTTCCACCAAGGTGTCATTGTGGATGGTGGACAGGATGTAAGCGTCTCTCTTATCCTTCCACTTCAGGGCTTGCTGATTCCCCCCTTTGTAGCCTGGTATTCACTAGAGCTTGTGGGAAGCCCTTTCTTCCAAGGTTTTCTCAAGGTACAAGTGTCGGAAAAGGGGCCAATTGGTATAGAAATTGTCATGAAATTTACATGTGATAGCCTTTTTGAAAAAGTGGATAAGCAAGGTCCCAGACAATTTTTCTCTTGTTTCAATGTATGTTTGGCACTCAGGGGGCTGGAGCTGGGAATCTTTGCCTTCATATACGCGGAATGCATACAAATATCCCAAGGCTCTTTCTCAAAGCTTGTGTAGCTTTACTCCATATCTGACCCTTTTACTTGGAATATATTGCTTAATTCCTAGCTGGCCAGTGAAGTGGACAAGGCATTCGTCTATACATACATTTTTATCAGGGACAAAAAGTTCAGCCAATCTTTGGGAAAAAAAAATTAAGAAGTGGGCGACTGAAGGAATCGCATGATCATCTCATAGCGTGACTTGGGCATTACAGCAGAATAAATTGGCATGTGGTGGATTGGGTGTGTTGACCAGTACACATGTCCTTCATTTTTTTTGTAAGCCCCATGTTAAGGGTGAGGCCCAAAAAAGAACTTAAATTCCTCCAATGTAAGAAGTCTCCTTTCAAATGGATGTGCATAGGATGAACTGGGTTTGTTAGTAATGAATTGTTGTGGCATATAGGGTTGTCTGGTTCACAATAAACTAAATGCCTTCTTATCCTGAGTTGGAGGGTAGCCATAATGGGTTGGCAAGAACATCTGGGAGGTATGTTTGGGCCCTGATTCTTGGGGGTTCATGGAATATTCCAGTGCTGATACTGGGTCTTTCATCTATGGGTCTAGTGCTATTGGTGTTTGCCAATTGACCATTGGGGTGTATGGTGCTGCTGGTGGCTGCCTGGTTTTCAGAGTGCCAAATCCTTTTCAGGAGGGACCCTTTCCTGCTCTGATTTAGTCGCTGATCCCCTACTTTCAATTGGTTCATACACTGAATCAGAATTGGACAGTGAGAGCTCCCCACTACTCTCATCCATCATACTTAGAATTTTGAACGCCTCCTCACTAGTGTAAATTTTTTTTGACATGGCTGGCTCTGGGACAGGTAGACTGCTGATAGTGGCTGTAGGACGGGTACCTTGGTGATGGTGGTTGTGTGATGGCTGTGTGACAGTACTCTGCTGATGCTGATGGTGGCTGTGTGACGGTACTCTGCTGATGGTGGCTGTGTGACGGTACTCTGCTGATGGTGGCTGTGTGACGGTACTCTGCTGATGGTGGCACTGATGGACGATGTGCGACAGGTGCACTGCTGATTGGCACTTATGGGTGACAGATGCACTGCTGATAGGAACTGATTAGCAACAGGTACATTGATGGGTGATAGGTACACTGATAGGCACTGATGGGTGACAGGTGCGCTGCTGGGCACTGATGGGCCACAGGTGCACTCCTGATGGTCACTGAGGGGCGACAGATGCACTTCTGATGGGCACTGATGGACAACAGGTACACTGATGGACAACAGGTACACTGATGGACAACGGGTACACTGACAGGCACTGGTGGATGACAGTGCACTGCTGATCGGCGACAGGTACACTGATGGGCGACGAGTACACTGATGGGCACTGATGGGCGACAGGTGCACTGATGGGCATGGGTGGGCACTGATGGGCAACAGGTACACTGATGGACAACAGGTGCACTCATGGGTGACAGGTACACTGATGGGTGGCAGGTACATTGATGGCCACTAGTAACACTGATGGGCACTGTGACGGGGCTGTGATCTGTCTGTGCACCGTAAGGAACTGTTAGAGGATTCCTCTCCCCACACAACATCTGTGTGTGAGGAGAGGAAGCTGGTAACAGTGAGTATTTACATTTGTGACAGGCTGTGATTGGACTGATTCACTTAAAATTATTGTAAAGGCTGAAGTTTTTTTTTTTACCTTAATGCTTCTATGCTCCCCCAACAGCCCCCCTCATACTCACCTGAGCCACTTCTTGATCCAGTGATGTGCACAGGTCTCTCTATTCTCATTGGCTGAGACAGAGCAGTGGCAACCATCAAAGCCAGGGAGCCAATGAAGAGAGAGTGGAGTGCAGGACCGAACCATGGTTCTGTGTCTTAAGGATGCATAGAGCGGGGCTCAGGAGAGAGCATGCACCAATGCCCCCATAGAAAGTGAGTTGCTATAGGGGGCACTGGTCAAGGGGGAGGAGCCAGGGGCACCAGTGGGGGAACCGAGAAGAAGAGGATTGGGGCTGCTCTGTCCAAAACCATTGCACAGAGCAGGTAAGTATTGTATGTTTGGTTAAAAAAAAACCTTTAATATCACTTTAATTTGAAAATTAATTTGCTAATCAATAGTACAAAATACAGGTAATTTTTATATGTATAGTTATTCTTACAGTGTCAGTACAAGCACTGTAGAATATACAGCCACATATGAAAAATCAAGGAAAAAAATAAATCTATCCCCCTATCTATCTATCTATCCCCCTATCTATCTATCTATCTATCTATCTATCTATCTATCTATCTATCAATCAGTTTTTGGTCTGTTTACCATTTATGGCAAAAAATATAAGCTATCATTAGCAATTAGCTATCATTAATAAAAAAAAAAAGAATTACATTAAGTTGATTAAAGTCACGGTTGATAATTAGTCCTTTAATGTCATGTCAAGGTGTTGTATTCCACTACCGAGCTGGATCCAGTCGATACTCCCTGAACTTCAACCAAGCGAAGCAGGCGTGCCTGGACAACCACGCTGTCATCGCAAACCCAACTCAGCTGCAGGCAGCCTATGAAGCTGGCTTCGATCAGTGTGATGCTGGATGGATATCAGACCAAACTGTCAGGTAGTAATGTCTAGAACGTAATGAAAGACTGGGACTGCCGCAGAGTGATGGGCACTGTAGAAAATATATTGATTAAAGTCAACATGTTTGGCATATCTAAATAGCAAAACAAATGACTCAAAACTGGAATCTATGTTTCAAGCCTGTAGCATTATTTTTATATATACTATTTAGCCAATTAACACTTTCACTTCAATTTTGAAATCTATTTCAGTCGGTACCTAACATAATACAACATTCTAAGGAACAAAGGTGGATTCTACTATAGCTTTCCCCAAATGTTTGCTGATCTGTTTTTTAAGACCATTGTGCCAAATTTGTAAAAATGTGTGGGGCTTCACATGAAAGGGAATTGTATTGTTACACCTTCCCAAACTTCCAGTTCCCATTCACACTTGAGCTGTTTTTTGCTAGTTTCTCTATACCTGGATATGATTGACTACACATAATCCCATTCTTTTTACTTGTCCCTGTTCCCACTTGTATACTTAGTTTGTAGGCAGGTTGCCTACAGTAGTCCACTTGTATGGCTGCCCTAGAGTGAAGGAAAGGTTTCATTCTTTTTGTCCATGATCCCGGGATTTCTTGATGGGCTTTTTGGGTCCAGCACACTGGTCCTGTGGCACTATAAGAGGGACCTTCGAGCTGCTGTCATTGTGTGTTCAGGGCCTGCTTGCGCTTTGCCTTGGCCCGGTCAGCCACTGAAGACACCAGCATTTGGATTCCGTCACCATGGACACTGCCTAGAATGGACTTTTACCTCTGCAGGTATGCTAGGGAAGCCACTAATTAGGTCTAGTTAGGGAAAAGACTTATAGCTCTGTTGGAACTGTTATAATAAGTTTTATTTGTCTTTATACGTTGCCCTGCCTGGTCTGAAGTTATTCAAAGGGTTGTATGAAACTAACCAGCACTCTACACCTAGTCTGCAAGTAATAAGCAAGAAGTTGCCACAAGTAACAGATGTCTAATAACCAGTACAAGCAGCTTGTCATGAAGCTTGGTACCGGTGATAGGTGAGGTGTCCTCTAGCAGAGAGGGGGTTGCTTCTGGGGCTCCCTCCCCAAGTGGTTCATCTCCCATAGCAACAGGAGCAGATCAGCACCTCAACCTGGCCACTAGGTACAGAAGAGGAAGAGTGAACTAAGTGGATGCATGAGGTCTTTGTTATGTGCATGGCAAGAACCAATTCTATCACTGGAAGTGAAACACTGAATGGGTGCACATAGGTTCAGAGTGTCCCTCCTGAAAGCAACAGTTAGAGTCAAGGTGTGCATTGAAACGGGACCAGAGATTTAACTGGAGTCCATTTGATCATGGTACACTGTGTACAGCCATCTCTAAGTTGGAGGACTGCCTTAAGGTTGAATTTCCCTGAGAGTGGTCCCCACATTGTCCCAGGACATTGATGAGCATAACACAGTGAAGGTACCCCATGTGCAGGGAGAGCAACCCTGTCCACAGTGCCTAGTGTAGCCCAGAAGAACCCATCCCATGGTTGATCCCTTGGTGTCATCCTACATCTTGGCGTCCAATGAAGGCATGCAGAGAGGCCTTCTACTCATGCTCACAAGTTGCCCTATGCTCAAAAAAAGTAAACTTTTAGCATTTTCAGGCATTTTTTATTCCATGGACTGCAACAGGAATGCCTGTAAACACACAATATACACGTTTTGGTGATAATTTTTACATCTGATGAATTCCTCTCCTCCTATAGAACTGCTCTTCTCCCTTGCCCAGCCCAGGTTGTAATACATATAGAGGTTAATTTACTAAAACTGGAGAGTGCAAAATCTGGTGCAGCTCTGCATAGAAACCAATCAGCTTCCAGGTTTTATTGCCAAATCTTAATTGAACAAGCTGAAGTTAGAAGCTGATTGGCTACCGTGCACCGCTGCACCAGGTTCTGAGTGCACCAGTTTTAGTACATCTCCCCCATAAAGTATTATGTTTAGCTCTAAATGACACCAAAGGACAAATCTTTATAGTTCTCTAGTAAAACATGCTTTTCTTAATTCTATGTATTGTTGATAATGTATATTGTTTGTATAACCCAGATACCCAATTGTCCATCCTCGAGAGAACTGCAATGGAGACAAGAATGGTTTTCCGGGTGTTAGAAATTATGGAGTGATGAATCCAGATGAGCAATATGATGTGTACTGTTATATTGATAAACTGCGAGGTACGTCACCAATTTAAAAAAAAACAGAAATAATAAGTGCAAATGTATATGATTACCTATAAAATTATATCTATTATATCTATCTATCCTTCTATCCATTAAACAATAATATCTATCTATCTATCTCCAATCATCTATATATGTATTTCTACGTATCCCTCTATTATCAAAGTATCTATTAATCCATCCAATTATGTATTCATCCATGTATTTATCTACATATGGCCATAGTCATGGATGAATGGATGGAGTGGATTATAGCAATTAATTTAATTACCTGTCTATCTATCTATCTATCTATCTATCTATCTATCTATCTATCTATCTCTCTATCTACATCCATCCATCAGTCCATACATAGCATCCATCTATTACCTATCTATGTATTCCTCTATTCTCTGTGTATGTTGTAATCCATCTAGTTATGTATCCATCTATGTATTCATCTATATATGACCATAGTCTTTGGATGGCAGCAAATAATTTAGTTATTAATAAATTCAGTCTATATATCTATCTATCTATCTCCAATCATCTATATATGTATTTCTACGTATCCCTCTATTATCTAAGTATCTATTAATCCATCCAATTATGTATTCATCCATGTATTCATCTACATATGGCCATTATTTACATGGATGAATGGATGGAGTGGATGATTAGCAATTAATTTAATTACCTGTCTGTCTGTCTGTCTATCTATCTATCTATCTATCTATCTATCTATCTATCTATCTATCTCTCTAACTACATCCATCCATCAGTCCATACAAGCATCCATCTATTTCACCTATCTATGTATTCCTCTATTCTCTGTTGTATTTTGTAATCCATCTAGTTATGTATCCATCTATGTATTCATCTATATATGACCATAGTCTTTGGATGGCAGCAAATAATTTAGTTATTACCTAAATTCAGTCTATCTATCTATCTATCTATCTATCTATCTATCTATCTATCTTTCTATTTCTTTGGTAATAGTAATGTCAGTAATTTTATTATATTGTGACTTATTTTAAATCATTTATTTAAACTGACTTTAATATTGAATTTAGATTTTGTTCCTCTAAATAAAGAAGACGTTATTATAAGTAGTTTGTATTGCTAAGTCTATATAATGACCCCGCATAAATCAAAGAACAAGGTTTACTGTGTTGTAACGAATGACTTTCAAAGTTTTTCCAGATACCGCTGTATGTAAGGAAAGAAAGTCCTTTTCTTCTTTACTAACAGCTTAATTGATAAAATTCAGCAAAAATAATAAATATCACGGAGTGTATTTACTTGTGTTAATGTTTTTGTTTGGTTTCCTTTTTTTTTTTTATAAATACAGTCATTAAAGGTGCTGTAGGAATGAATGTGACCATTCAGCCTTTTTCTCTTATGTATGTGTATCATATAGGAACATTATGTCATTATTTGTAACATGATGCATATATGCACACACACTCTGACACACACAGAGGAACATTACATTCCTTGTATGGAGTACATTACATAGAACCACAAAAATTATTCCATTGTGATACATCATGGAATATTTTTATATATAAGATGTGTTCTAACTTCTATGTGTTCTTCGTTCTTTACACTCTTCAAGTTATAGCTTAATGAACAGCTCTGCCCATCATTGTTCTCTTTCCTTTTCTAAATCTGCTGGTCTCTTTTTCTCAGGGTCCTGTTTCTTTGGTTCTATTCTTCACCTTTGATTGCCGCCTTGTCATTGTCTGTAGTTGCATAATGGCTGATGCCCTGGCACCGGTACAGATTTTCAGCTGCCCTCCAGTATACTGACCCCTACATCTACAACAGCACAGAGCAAACAGAGCACAACCCAAGCAGGCCCAGGACCTTTTCCCTGCATTGCTCTGCATTTTGTGGCTACCACCTCTCTGCTTAGTACACATGGGGGTTACATAGTTACACAGTTAGTCTGGCTGAAAAAAGACAAAAGTCCATCCAGTTCAACCATTTAAAAAAAAAAAAGTTATAATCCTATGCCCTCAGAGGAATGCAAAAAACTCAGCAAAGCATGATCCAATTTGCTCCTGCAGGGAAAAAAATTCCTTCCTGATCCCCCGAGAGGCAATCGGATATTCCCTGGATCAACTTTACCTATAAATGTTAGTATCCAGTTATATTCTGTGTATCTAAGAAAGAATCCAGGACTTTTATAAAGCAATCCACTGAGCTGGTCAGAACCAACTCTTAAGGGAGTCTATTCCACATTTTCACAGCTCTTACTATGAAGAAACCTTTCCGCGTTTGGAGATTACATTTCTTTTCCTCCAGATGTAAAGAGTGCCCCCTTGTCCTCTGTGATGACCTCAGGGTGAATAGCTCTACACCGAGTTCACTATATGAACCACTGATGGATTTATACATGGAGATCATATCCCCCCTTATGTATTATACATGGAGATCATATCCCCCCTTATGTATTGTACATGGAGATCATATCCCCCCTTATGTATTATACATGGAGATCATATCCCCCCTTATGTATTATACATGGAGATCATATCCCCCCTTATGTATTATACATGGAGATCATTATCCCCCCCTTATGTATTATACATGGAGATCATATCCCCCCTTATGTATAATACATGGAGATCATATCCCCCCTTATGTATTATACATGGAGATCATATCCCCCCTTATGTATTATACATGGAGATCATATCCCTCCTTATGTATTATACATGGAGATCATATCCCCCTTATGTATTATTATACATGGAGATCATATCCCCCCTTATGTATTATACATGGAGATCATATCCCTTTTTATGTATTATACATGGTGAGATCATATCCCCCCTTATGTATTATACATGGAGATCATATACCCCCTTATGTATTTTACATGGAGATCATATCCCTCTTATGTATTATACATGGAGATCATACCCCCCCTTATGTATTATACATGGAGATCATATCCCCCTTATGTATTATACATGGAGATCATATCCCCCCTTATGTATTATACATGGAGATCATATCCCCCCTTATGTATTATACATGGTGATCATACCCCCCCTTATGTATTATACATGGAGATCATATCCCTCCTTATGTATTATACATGGAGATCATATCCCCCCTTATGTATTATACATGGAGATCATATCCCCCCCCCTTATGTATTATACATGGAGATCATATCCCTCCTTATGTATTATACATGGAGATCATATCCCCCCTTATGTATTATACATGGAGATCATATCCCCCTTATGTATTATACATGGAGATCATATCCCCCCTTATGTATTATACATGGAGATCATATCCCCCCTTATGTATTACACATGGAGATCATATCCCCCTTATGTATTATACATGGAGATCATATCCCCCCTTATGTATTATACATGGAGATCATATCCCCCCTTATGTATTATACATGGAGATCATATCCCCCCTTATGTATTTACATGGAGATCATTCCCCCTTTTTATTATACATGGAGATCATATTCCCCCTTAATCTCCTCTAGAGAATAAATTCTCCTTTAGAGAATAAATTCAGTTCCTCTAATCTTTCCTCATAGCTGAGCTCCTCCATGCCTCTTATCAGTTTGGTTGCCCTTCTCTGTCCTTTCTCCAGTTCCCCAATGTTCTTTTTGTGAATTGGTGCCCAAAACTGAACTGCATATTCCAGATGAGGTCTTACTAATGATTTGTACAGGGGGAAATGATATCTCTCTCTCTGGAGTCTATACCTCTTTTAATACAAGAGAGGATTTTGCTCACTTTAGAACCTGCAGCTTGGCATTGCATGCCATTATTAAGCTTGTGAACTACCAGAACTCCCAGATCCTTCTCCACTATTGATTCCCCCAGTTGTACCCCCCTAGTATGTATGATAAATGCATATTCTTAGCCCCCAAGTGCAGAACCTTACATCTATCAACATTAAACGTCATTTCCCACATAGTTGCCCAATTACACAGAGCATTGAGGTTGGCTTGTAAGTTGGAGACATCCTGTAAGGACGTTATTCCACGGCACAGCTTGGTGTCATCTGCAAAGACTGAAATGGAATTTTTAATCTCAGACCCTATATTGTTTATATATATATTAAAATGTAAGTGTCCCAACACTGAACCTTGGGGTACACCACTGACACCCCTAGACCATTCAGAGTATGAATCATTAACCACTACTCTCTGAATATGATCTTTTAATCAGTTTTCTTCCCATTTACATACAGATTTTTCCAAGCCTGTAGACTTTACCTTACACATTAGCCGTGTGTGGGGAACTGTGACAAACGCTTCTGCAAAATCCAAAAGTTGATTCACTAAAGGCAAATAGGCTGCTCACTTTGCAAGGGAAGTTGCACTTTATAAGGGAAATTTCCCCAGAACTTCAATGAAAATTTTGATGAAGTTTCACATTGCAAAGAATATCCAATCATGGACAAGGAAAAAAAAACTAAATTTTTTTCAAATGATTGAATGATGGATGTCAGCAGAGCGTCATATTAGAAATGCGCAGAACAGATTTTTTTTTTTAATTTTGGATTCGCTCATTAAGCTAATAATTTAGTTTAATCATATTTTTTATATTAGAGTGATCTGTTTTTGGAATACATTTCATATATTCGGATTAATTTCATACATTAGTTATATTTGGAACTTTAAGTTTAGAAGTCGGCTATATTCATTCTATTTTGTTCTATTCTATTCCATTCTAATCTTTTCTATTTGTTCTATTCTATTCTGTTCTCTTCTTTTCTATTATTTTATTTTCTATTTTTTTCTATTCTATTCTTTTCTATTCTATTCTGTTTTATTATATTCTAGTTTATCCTATTCCTTTATTTTCTACTCTGTTCTATTCTATTCCTTGTTTCTATTCTATTTTATTCTTTTCTTTTCAATTCTATTCTATAAAACAGCCTAAGTATTAATCATCATTTTATTTCACTTGTATACCTTACTATATTTATTGCAATATGTTTAGATTTCGAATTAGGATTCATTTGCTAATTCAAATTCATTTTTGAATTTGAATTCATTTTTGAATTACAGTAATTCGTTTCGTTATAATTTATTTGAGATTCGTTGAAATTCGTTTCTACTGTGAGTCAGAAATACATCAGAATCTCGGAATAACAAAAAATGTATCCAAATTTTGATTCATAACGAAGCAAATTGCACAAGTCTGATTCATATAATTTTGTAAGTTCAGAGGAAAAGCCCCTTGCAAAGTGAACAGTCTACTTGCCTTTAATACAGTAAATCAGCCCCAGTATGTAGACATTCCATGCCTCAGCTATTCTCTCTAGGAATAATTAACACACTAAAAAAGATTGATTAAATACACCATTTTTTATTCTTCCTTTTGCTTTCTACCATTTGAGGTACAGGTTAAAAGAGAAATGTGGGGTCTGGATTTTTTCCCCCAATTAGACTTGGTTCGATGCTGCATCTGTCCCCCACCGGCTTTGAGGCTAGGTTCACACTTATGCAGTTTGCGTTTTATCCCCTTCTGCAGTGCTTTTTGCGGTGCATTTTTGCGCATGTTTTTGACACGTTTTTGATGCGTTGTGCATTTTTTTTTCAACTTGTTGCTAGGCAGATTAAAATGAATCAAAAAACACATTAAATGCACTACATGCATTTTTGCAGCATCTCCAATGAAAGTCTATTGAACAAAAAAAAGTTTAAAAAAACTCTCTGACATCTTCCGAAAAACACACAGGGAAAAAAAAACATGGAGATATGAACGTGTCCCATAGGAAACCATGTTAAATGGACTGCTGTGTGTTTCTACAAAACACAACTAAAAACGCATAAGTGTGAACCTAGGCTAATGTGGGCCATAGATGGGACGAAAAATGGCCGAAAATTGGCTGGAAAAAAAAATTGGCCGATTATCGGATCGTTAGTGCAGTAATCGGTCGGCCGTTTTTCGTGATTTTTGCCCTTTTGGATTATCAGTCCTGCTGGAAAATAATCGGCCAAATTTGTCGTTCTGCCGATTGTTGTAGCAATGATGGATAAATCGGCTGATCTTTTTACCGATTTTAAAAAATGCGCATAGGCAGTGACATGAAAGAAGAAGGAAAAGAAGAAAAGGAAAAAAAATAGAATATGAATAAGAAGAAGAAATAGAATATGAATAAAAAGAAGAAATAGAATATAAAGAAGAGGAAATAGAAGAAATAGAATATGAAGAAGAAGAGGTAAAAGAAGAAATAGAATATGAAGAAGCAGAAGAGAAAAAGAAGAAATAGAATATGAATAAGAAGAAGAAATTGAATATAAAGAAGAAGAAGAAATAGAAGAAATAGAATATGAAGAAGTAGAAGAAGAAAAAGAAGAAATAGAATATGAATAAGAAGCAGAAAAAAAAAGAATGTCAGTCCGATATTATATTTGACAGTTAAAAGTATAGCAGCATTGTATCTATTTGTATCCGAATAGAAACATCTGTATCCGAAATGGATACAAATAGATACAATATTGCAACCTTTTCTTCTTATTATTCATATTCTATTTCTTCTCCTTCATATTCTATTTCTTCTATTCCTTCTTCTTCTGCATATTCTATTTCTTCTTTTTATTCATATTCTATTTCTTCTATTTCTTCTTCTTATTCATATTCTATTTCTTCTTTTTCCTTATTCAAATTCTATTTCTTCTTCTTTTAAATGTCAAATATAATAGCGGAGCTCTCTGCAGGGTCACCGCTATTATATTAATGGCCGGCCGTAGACGGGACGAAAATTAGCCGACTTTTTTTTTTACCAATGGTGGTAACGTCAGCTGATTGAATGACCGATTTTTTCATTTTTCGAAAAAGCAAATGGCCAGTTTTCTCCCTGTCTATGGCCTGCATAAATGTGAGAACAGCCGCTCTGAGCAGAGAGGGGTGACTGTCTGTTCTCCCCCATGCTCTCTGGATATGGATTTGATTACAAAAGATGGCTAAATGGTTAGCACTTCCATCTGGCAGTACTAGGGTTGTTGGTTCAAATCCCAGCCATGGCACCTCCTGCCTGGAGTTTGCATGTTCTCCCTGTGCCTGCATGGGTTTCCTCCAGGTATTCTGGTTTCCTCCCACACTCCAAAGACATGCTGGTAGGTTAATTGGCTCTTGTCTAAATTGGCCCTAGTATGTGTATGTATGAATATACATTAGGGACCTTAGATTGTACACCCCTTGAGGGTTAGGGACTGATGTGAATGTACAATATATGTAAAGCACTGCATAAATTGACAGTGCTATATAAGTACCTGCAATAAATAAAAGATGGACAGTCCCTCCAAATGAGGGATCATTGAGAATTCCATGTAACCCAAGTTGCTTATGAACAGGAGAGTGGAGTATCCCAGGGACATGTAAAAGTTGACTTTCCGAAAACAAATGATGGGTGCTTTCTATATTTTTTCTATAGTGGCGAAAATAATTATCTGTTTCCCTGCAGATTTTGTAAGTTTGCCCACTGAAGGGTCTATAATTTATCTCTACAATCTTGTCCCTGACGTCCTTTGACAGCCCTTTGGTCTTGCCCAATGATGGTGAGGTTTGAATGGAAGAAAGAGATTCTGTGGACAGGTGTCTTTTATACACATAACGAGTTGTTGTTAGGAGCACCTTCTTAAATTGAGAGGACTAATCTGTGTACCACATGAGCACATTGGCCAGTTTGTGGGAGCCAGAATTATTGTTGGTTGGTAGGGGATCAAATAGTACTTTACTCACTGAAATGCAACTCAATTTATAACATTTGTATCGTGTTTTTTTCAGGATTTCTGGTTGCTATTCTGTCTCTATCATTTAAAATATACCTATGATATAAATTATAGACCCTTCATTTCTTTGTAAGTGGGCATACTAATCTGTGTACCACATGAGCACATAGCCAGTCTGTGGGAGCCAGAATTATTGTTGGTTGGTAGGGGATCAAATACTTACTTTACTCACTGAACTACAACTCAGTTTATAACATTTGTATGTGTTTTTTCCGGATTTTTGGTTGATATTCTGTCTCTATCCTTTAAAATACACCTATGATATAAATTATAGACCCTTCATTTCTTTGTAAGTGGACAAACTTACAAAATCTGCAGGGGATCTAATAATTATTTTTCTTATTGTATATATGCTTTACTAGCATTTAAATGTATATTTCATTTAATAATAAAGATGCTTTCAACACATTATGGATTAATGTTCCTTTGATGTTGTATACAGGAGAGGTGTTCTTTGCAACCCAGCCCGATCACTTCACTTTCCAACAAGCAAAAGAGTTTTGTGAGAGCAAAAATGCCACCTTAGCTTCCACTGGGCAACTTTATTCTGCATGGAAATCAGGATACGACAAGTGCCGAGCAGGCTGGCTTTCCGATGGAAGCGTTCGCTATCCTATTGTGACACCACGCCGAGTATGTGGGGGTGACCAATCTGGAGTACGAACAGTCTATCTGTATACAAACCAGACAGGATTCCCAGATCCCCTGTCAAAATACAACGCATTTTGCTTTAGGCGTAAGTATTTCATATTAATGCCCATGACTGCAAATCCATGGTTAATGTGGTATCAAATGTGCTTATACCTTGACACCTTGTGCTGGTCAATAGCATATCATGATAACTTATTGCTTGTATAGAAGTTTGTTTTTTAAAATATGTTCTGTATTAGGAGGAAAGTCATTAAAGGGAATACGTTTCAGTCTTGCAACCCATTGGTAAATTCACAGCCCAATCACATTTTGCATATAGTTAGAATTTTCCCTTCATTAGTTGGGCTGTAAAGTTGAAAATCGATTTCCAAGTTTTGGAGAAATGATCTTTGTGCCTTTTAGAAGTCAACCTAACTTACTAAAGGTAAAATTTAGTTTTTTGGGTTTTTTTGCAATCATTTTAGAATGTCCTTCCAACATGTGAAAATTAAACTTGCTACGTTATTATTATCCGCCACCCCTCTCTGCCAATCCCTCCACTGGCTCCCAGTTGCCCAACGGATAAAATTCAAAACACTAACAATGACATATAAAGCCATCCACAACACTGCCCCAATTTACATAACCGATCTTATCTCTAAATATCACCTAAACCGCACACTCCACTCCTCGCAAGACCTCTTACTCTCTAGCTCCCTTATCTCCTCCTCCCATGCTCATCTCCAAGACTTCTCCAGGGCGTCACCCATCCTCTGGAACTCCCTACCCCAATCTATCAGACTATCACCTACTCTACTTGCCTTTAGGCAATCACTGAAAACCTATATCTTCAGGGAAGCCTATCCCGCCCTCTGCTAATTCTGGAATCCTCTACTCTTCCAACCACTCCATCCCCCACAGTTACTACCTACTGTACCACTCACTCCGCCCTCCTAGATTGTAAGCTCCAAGGAGCAGGGCCCTCAAATCCCTCTTGTATTGAACTGTAGTGTTACTGTATTGTCTCCCACTATAATGTAAAGCGCTGAGCAAACTGTTGGTGCTATATAAATCCTGTATAATAATAATTATTATTATTATTGTTATTATACAGGATTTACATAGCGCCAACAGTTTGTGCATCGCTTTACGATGTGAGCGTAGACAGTACAGTTAAAATACAATTCCGTATAGGAATTTTCTGCTCATTAGAGCTTACAATCTAAAAGGGAGTGTCAAGGGATATAAAAGGTAATAACTGTGGGGGAAAAAGCTGATGGAGAAAATAAAAGTACAGTTGTTAGGTGGGGGCAGGATAGTCCTCTCTAAAGAGAAGGGTTTTTCAGGGATTGTCTAAAAGTAGACAGAGTGGGAGACAGTCAGACAGATTAGGGTAGGGTAGGGAATTTCATAGGATGGGAGAGACTTCTGAGAAGTCCTGTAGGTGAGCATGAGAGGAGGAGACAAGGGAACTAGAGAGCAGGAGGTCTTGGGAGGAAGGAAGAGAACAATTTGGTTGGTGATAAAGCTGGGGGACAAGTTGTGAATGGCTTTGTAAGGTGTTATTAGTATTTTAAATTTTATTTGTTGGGTAAGTGGAAGCCATTGGAGGGATCGGCAGAGAGGGCTGCCAGGCACTGAATGGTTGGTAAGGTGGATGAGTCTGGCAACAGTATTCAAACTGGACTGAAGAAGGGGGGTAGCCTGTGTAAAGGTATTGCAATGGGGAGAAAGTTGCAGTAGTCGAGGTGAGAGATAACCTGGGAGTGAATTAGGAGCTTTGTGGTATCATTGGTTAGGAAGGGGCGTATTTTGGAGATGTTGCATAGGTAGAGGTTGCAAGCCTAAGACAGTGATTGGATGTGGGACTGAAAGAAGAGTTCGGGAAGAAGTTAGGTGAAGAGGCACGTGGGGGAGGAAATATTATGAGCTCAGTTTTGGATAGATTGGAGATGAGGAAGTGGAGTGACATCCAGACTGTGTTTTTACATTCATGTAAGTTCCTGCTGCCTATTGAGTGTTGGAGTTAGTGCCAACACCAACCAGGTGGTACAGGACAGGCATATGAGACTCAAATAAAACTGAATTTAGTAGTATAACACCATATGGCACCACCTTAGTCCTACCGTTATCAAGTTAGTTGAATGTTACAGCACATTTTCTGTTCTGTTTGATCCGATTCTTTGATTTTTTTTCTCTTGTCTTGATTACTTGTGTCAAATCTCTATTTGTCCATGAATCATTTAGATAGCTTGCATTCAAAGTGCTTCCATAACACTTCAGTTGTAGATCATGCTGAGCTTTCTGGAAGGTAGTCAATATTGGTCCATATGGGTCTGTATTAGGTAGTGGGGGAGGAGTAGCACGCCCTTTCTCTGGTTTATTCAGTTGCTGAAGTGTTGTGAATAGACTCGATTAGCAGAAGATTGCACTGTAATCATTGCATTGTCTGTTTAAAGTTTGTCACCTCTCCCGAGAATTCTAAAAAAACAAACTCCTTACCAGGGGTGGACTGACAACTCATGGGGCCCCTGGGCCATAGGGGATCATGGGGCCCCTGTGTTCTTGCCCACACTCAAACAAAGCCTATAAAAGGTACCAGGGGCATTTCATGGGGCCCCCTGCTGACCCCAGGCCCTCGGGCAGTGCCCGAGTTCTCGAATGGTCAGTCCGCCCCTGCTCCTTACAATAAAAGGCTTTGGATATTTACCTGTCCAGTGAGCAGCAAATCCAAACTCTTTTATCTTCTAGCACTTGTATCTTCTTTTTTTTGGCAAAGTCTTTAGCATTTCACATTTACAGTAGTTCTAAGTGCCTTCTCCCCCTGCTGCTCACTTTCAGTCCCTCCCCTGGCCACTATGTTGCAATAGGATGCTCTAGTGAGGTAGGTGTCAAAGGGAGGAACCACTTTCTAAAGTGTCAAATGTTAAAGACTTTGCCAGAGTGCTGGAAATTCAGTACAGACATACTACACATCAGAGAGTTAAATATTTACAGTCTTCTATTGCAGATACATTTTTACAATTCTTAGAGGAAGTGACAGAATTGTATTAAAACTGAACTACTGGAATTAGCCATAATCTACCCTTGCAGCGCCCTCTCTCTCCCCCTGCACTGCAAGAATGACTGCTCATTAGGTTGCGGGATGCATGAATAAGCAGTAATACACATACCTTATATCCCACATTGGCAGACTACCTGGATCCATGTGACCGATCCAGCACTGCTACCTCTCTAGGGCACTTTGGCCATGGTAGCACTCCACCCTCCTTTATGTGCAATGCAGGGTTAATAGCCCTGCATTGCGCATGATGACACCAAAGGACAACTAACCACCCAAAGTTGAGGTAGAGGATGGGAGTGCCAGAGGCAGCCAGAGTGGGGATCTGGTAGGTATTACATTCTCTTCAACTCCCTTCTAGACTTAACAGGCATTTGGCCTTTGCAGTGCAGGGGGGCTCACAGAAAGGGTACATTTTGGCTAACAGAGATCCACTTTTAGGTTACATTAACACCTAAGCTTCAAGTTTACAAGCATTTCTTAAGCATTTTTTTCAACTAGGCATTTGGAGTACTGCGGAAAAAGGGACGAAGAGCTGCTGCTTGAGCAGAAAATGCGCAACAAAATGCTTGAAAAAAAAAACACTCAAACTCGATTTTCAGGCTTTTTCATTGAAGTCTATGGGGACAAAACACTCAGTTATGCCTGAAAAGTAGCTCATGTACTTTTTTGAGCGCCAGAACACTCAGGTATGAACAAGAGCTATTGAAAACCATATGTTTTTGCTTGTTGAGCGGTTTTGAGCTTTAAGCGACAAGCTACAAAATTCTCAAGTGTGAACAAGGAGCCTAAAAGAACTTTTCTTCCTTCCATGTGTATTATATAACAAGTTGAAGGTTGCACATACCAGCAAATGTTTACTGTTTACTGTTTCATGTTGCAGCTTCTTTGTTTGAAGAGGAAGAAGTCCCAGGCACTCCATCAATTGATGAAGAAATCATTGCAACTAAGGTATATCCTGGTGTGGAGGGGTTACCTTCAGGAGAAGAGATAACTGTAGAAACGGTAACTGCCACTGAATTTGAGAATGAAACGGACTTCTGGCTGATAAATGCCACCGCACTTCCAACTGTTGAATTGGAGATAGGTAAGTAAGGTGGCCTTTTTTAATGTATCCTTCATTGGCACCATGCATCAAGTGACCCCTCACTGCAATTGCTTTCCAATTCTTCTATTGTATAAAATATCACACTTATGACTACACAGGCATCTTCCATCTCTGTTTTTAAATCCCTTTTACATTTTTGAAAGTACATTGCCCAAGTGCTTCAATGGTTTAGGCTACATTCACACTGAGCTGAGCATTTTTCAGACACTTTTGAGTGTGTTTTTTAGCAGATTTGCAAATTTTATAGGCATTTTTTTTCAGACGTATTTCTTTTAGGCGTTTTTGCTGTGGCCAATAGAAATAGAAATGCTGTTTGAGCTGAAAATGCCTAAAAAATGCTTGAAAAAACACTTGAAAAAAAAGCTTATTCCCATAGTTCAGGCATTTTCCATTCAAGTCTACGGGGACAAAATGCTCAAATCTGCCTGAAAAGTAGTACAAGTACTTTTTTGAGCGACAGAACGCTCAAGTGTGAACAAAGGGTCATTGGAAATAATGGGATTTTACTTGTTGAGTATTTCTGAGCATGGAGCTTCAAGTTGGAAAACGCTCAAGTGTGAATAGGGTCTTAATTCTATTGCTTGTATTATGCTTCCACCAACTGGTTCATATATACAGGTAATATGGACAACTATAAGTAGGTTTTCGGTAAATCTCCAGGTTACCTCTGGGCTAATGAAGGATTTAGGAACAGATGGATCAGGACTACCACCTCCTTAATCATCCACTGCTTTAGAACCACGGCACTCAGGATGAAAAGGTCTCTACAAACCACCAAACATCAGCAGTCACATGGAAAAGTCGGCTCCATGGTATATCAGCTAAAACAAATCATCTATATTCAAAATAGTGGATTACAGCCATATAAAAATCCAATGTGTTTTGGCCGTTAGGACTTAGTCATGTCTAAGGCTGTTTTTATATGGCTGTAATCCACTATTTTGAATAAAGATGACTTGTTTTAGCTGATATATCCTGGAGCTGGCTTTTCCCTGTGACTGCTAATGAAGCATTCACTCAGGAGTGATGTTTCTGCCTTGAAACTGGACTGATGCATGG